AGTTCTTTTAGGTAGAAAGAGGGAGGCCACTGAAAAGAACTAAAAATATAGTATTAAGAGATCTTTTGCACTGCTCCACTGCAGTAAACCATAGCAGAGCTAAGAGGGTAGGTCAAAAGAAGAAATGTAACAGAGTAGTAGTAGGAGAAACATCAGGTAGCAGAAATAACCTATGGAGAATCACCTTGGAAGCCACTTTGTTTCTGTTACAAATGAGCTAGTTTATTCATTCAACAAATATAAGTAGTATCGTATACTCTGATTGTGTATTTTGCTAGGCACTGGGAGGGATACAAATACAAATTAAGCCAGTCTTTGTCCTCAAGAACTTATAATCAAATAAAGAACTTATTACCAAAACTAGTTTAAGTGCCCTTGATAGTTCAAAGTAGCTGCTATAGGACTTTAGATGTACACATTCTCACTTCCACTCACTTCCAGTGATTAGGGGGAGCTGTTTTGCTGAGGTAGCAGGAACAGAGCTTCAAAGGATGAACAGAATTTTAAACACCAGAGATGAAGAGAAGAAAGGATTCAGGTAGGCAGGGCAACCTTTGAGTTAGCTGGAAGTAGGTATACAGAGTGAGAAGAAGGAAAAAAAAAAAAAAAAAAGATTATAACTAGCTTTCACTTCAATTCACAAATACCGACATGCAGAGATTTTTAAATTTTAATCTACTCATGGACTTTTTCTTATTTAAAACAAACAAACAAACAAACAAAAATCACAGCCTGACTTTGAAATTTATTCCCAACTGCACAAGAAAACCAATCCTAAAATTAGAAGGTTATACCAAAAATATTCATTTCTACTGAAAGAGGGCAGAAAGAGAGTGAACTGGCCGGGTAGCTGGTGTCCTAAAATGGTCATAGTAGAGGCACTAGTAGTGACAGCTTCTCATGGCCTTGCCAAAGGGCTTTAACTCAGTCAGAGAGGACTATCATTTCAGAAGAAAGACTTCAGACACCATTGCCAAATCAAACTTTGGCTTCTACACAAAAAGTATCAAATATGATTTTGGTGCTTACTATCTTTTTATTTGTGCTCAGAAAAACCACCAAACTCAACCCAATCAGACTAATAAGACTTCAAACCTTTCCTTATTTTGAGTCATTTAAATAGTATCTTTATTTGAAGTTTTCATTAAGACTTAGTAGCAGGTAAAATATCTTAATATTCCTTAACCCAACACTCCTATTTTATATAAGCAGATAATTGAGGGTTAAAAAAACATGGTCCCATATTGTTTCAACTTTGTGCCTCTGTTTATTCATTTGTATAGGATGGTTATTTTCTGTGTCAGCTTGGCTGGGTCATGGTGCCCACATATTTGGCCAAACATTTTTCTGAATGTTTCTGTGAAGGCATTTTTCGATGAGATTAACATTTAAATTTGTAGACTTTGAGAAAAGCAGCTCACCCTCCATAACATTGATGGGCCTTATTCAATCAGTTGAAGACATTAATAGAACAGAGACTGATCTCCCCTGAACGAGAGGAAAAATTGTGACAGCATACTGCCATGGACTTAATGGCAACTGTTCCCTTTAGTCTCCAGCCTTCTCGCCTATCTTGCACTTTCTGGATTTACCAAGCCTCCACAATTTGCCTGAGGGAACTCCTTAAATTAAACTTTTCTTTTTCTCTTTCTGTGTGTATATGTGTGTGTGTGTGTGTGTGTGTGTGTGTGTGTGTGTACACACACTCTTACTGTTTCTCTGGAGAATCCTAATACGATGGTAATGCCAGAACAAGGAACAGAGCCTGTTGGTCAGACTATTCATTTCCCAAGGAGAGAACAAAGGAAGAAAGGGAAAGAAAGAGCAGTCAAAGGGAAGAACAAAGCATGCACCTTTGTTTTTATTTATCTCTACTTACAGCAAACAGATTAAGTGTAAAAGCAAACCAACTTATACATACATATTTTAATGTTCTAAAACTAAAAAATTTTGGCTTAGATCATAAATTATCTCACAAAAATAAATATTGCATGTGTTTTCTTTCAGGCCCATTCTTCTTAAAAATGCCACACACTTATGCATTTATTACCAACTTCAGTCCAACCAGAGTTTGAATTACTAAATCTCTATTTCCCACCATGGATGATAACCCCAGTTACAGATCTACTATGTGATAGTTAACAGTGACAAATTAATCTTTACTAAATAGGATTATTAATTGTTAAAGTTCAGCTTCATGTATCAAAGAACTTCGTAACTCTATCACCTCAAACCAGTAGGTCTATTAATAATGAAGACAATTTTTTAAGCAAAAGCTTCAGTAACATTCTGGGGCATTATTAAAATGATGTTTTTAGGGAGTCTGTGCCTATTATCCATCTTAGTATGATGTTTTTCATGGCAAGTTAGTAACTCAACCAACTAGTTCAATTCGTAAATTAGAAATCTATATAGGTCTTCTAAGGTCAATATATATTGCCACATTTCATCTAAATCTGAATGAAAAGAAGCAAGGAATGAAATGAACTATTAATTATATTTATTCTTATAGGGTAAATATTTCATCTGCAAATAATAACAAAGAGTTTAAAAAGCATACAGCTTCTGAAGAACATCTTGAAAGTAAATACTTTTTTACACTGGAGATTCATATATTAAAAAAAGTAGAATTCATATATGAATTTCTAATGTAACTATAGTTGAACATCATGACCTCAAAACTCCAAAATCTATTTTTCAGTTAGCAGAAGGTTGGTACATTAAAAAAAAAACCCACAAAATAAAACTCGATAACGAGTATTTCTTTAAAAATTGAGAACAAATTCAAGCGGTAAGCACCTGACCCAGTAAGATCCAGACTGGGGGCAGAGTTGACCACTTTAATGACACAACGGTTCAGTGCGCCCTTGTGGGCCTGTGATGCACAGAAGAGTTAGGTGTAAGGAGTCATACACAGATGATACAGGAACTCTCACTCCAAATGGAGAAATCAAAAAGGAAGCGTGACACAAATAATATATTACAGTTTAGAAAATATTTTGGATAAACTGACTACTAAACAGATAACAGTGGCATATAAAGGGGGTAGAGGAGTGGGAGTGGTTTGCTCTGTGTATGGGGATATTTTATCACTGATATTGTTCACAACTGCCAGCATATGGTGATAATACGCTGAAAATAACTACTTTTCATCTGTTTCATTATTATTTTTAAATCATCTCCAGAGAGTGTATCCCTCTGTTACTGCCATCTAGAATGCACTGCTTCCCCTGCCCCCACCTCCTGGCACACCACTAATAGACAGAGAACTTTGAAATAACATGTCCTACACCATCCCTGCCTGAGTCAAAGAGAACTCATTTAGGCTGCACCAATAGAAAGAGCTATCCCAAAAGAGAAATTTTAAAAAATTAAACTTTATAATTATTTTCACTACTGTAGTTAATATTACTGTAAGTGGTTTAAGTATATTATACATTAACAATTTAAATACTGGTTTATTTGTATTCATCTAATAAACATATTTTAATGATGAAAAAGAACTTACTGTGAAAAGCAAATGTTGTGTCATCTCAGCATAATTAGGGGAAAATGCCCTTTTGCCAGATTTTATTCTTTTAGAGATCATGAAAAAAGGTCAGTAGCTCAAAAGTAGTAATAATTTTTCCCTAAGTTGACTCCACCCATAAAGGTTGAATTTTTTTTTTTTTTTTATTTGTTTGACACAGAGGCGATAGAGCGTGTGCACATGCACAAGCAGGCAGAATAGCGGGGAGAGGGAGAGGGAGAAGTAGTCTCCCTGCTGAACAGGGAACCCAATGTGGGGCTCAATCCCCGGACCCTGAGATTATGACCTTAGTCGAAGGCAGATGCTTAATGACTGAGCCATCCAGAAGCCCCTTATTTTCATATTCATAAAGAGTCAATGGATTTGTCCTACTTCTGTTACATATATCAACTATGAGTTTTCCAGTAGTATTAAAAATAAAGAAGTTCTTTCAACCAAATTTCTGATGTTATTGGTCCCAGTCTAAATGCTTTCTAGGTATGAGAACTACAGATAAAATAAATACCATTAAACATATTGAAAGGAGATTTATTGAAGACAGAAGAAAGAACCAGAAATTATGACACTGGAACATCTGATCTGAAGGTATTGAATACACAGCAGCTTGGAAAGAATATGTACAAGGGGCAGATCAGCTCTGCCTCAAAGTCTACAGGGTTTTTTCCAATGTAACACATGTAAGTAGAGACCAAATCACCAGTTCCAGCATTGTGTTTATAATTGTTTGGAATGAAGGCATTGTTATAAATTTTACTATAGTTACCACCTTTACAAAGAAAAGAACAACAAAAGCACAATGTAATTATGCAATAAGGGGAATTTGAGATTTAAATTTACATCCATGAAGATTAATGAACAATGCACAATTTAATGAACATCTTTATCCTAGATGGGTTTTAAAAAGGTATAAATTATTCTGTCATGTAAAATAAAAATAAGTAAGCCAATTTCTGAAGCTTCCAAATTCTTAAAAATTCAATGTACCTTAACATGGCAAGGCTTCTGAATAAGGTACTCGATTACGATTAATAAATGTGCTACTAATATAGTGAGGCTTAAAAAAATCAGCAGATTGAATTAATATCTCCTCTTCTAATATGTAACTTAGTATATAGTAGGCTCCAAAAGTTTCATTTCCAAGTTATTCATAAATATATCAATTTCTAGAGTTTGCCTAGCACCTAATAAGCAAGCAAGCCAATACTTCATTTACAGTCTTAAAAGCAAACAAAAGCTTAGGAAAATAAATGTGCCCTCTTTCATTTCTTCAGTAAGTGTCGGCCAGGGTATGTCCGAGAAGTAGGATGTATCATATAAACAGCACAATGCTAGACTATATTATGAGACTATAGCACCCTCACTCCCTCTGTAAGGTGTGGAGGTCTACGCAGCACTAATATCTAGAAACAACTAGAAAATCGCCCAACTAGAAAGGCATCTTGCTAGCTTAGACCTAACTACATCAACTTACCAAATCCCTGTGCAACACCCAGTTAGCATGCAGGTAGTGAATCCCATCTAGGATCTGATATAATAGTGACTTCACCATTCCCCGAGGTAACTGAACTGGCTTCTTGTTTGCTTTAGAAGCTCTGTGAAACTTGATTATATGCTGAAAGAAAGAAAAATATCACCAGAAGCTTAAAAAAGAAAAGAGGGAAAGATAATTTGATGTATAATATAATCCTGCCAGAAAAAGAAACACTCAGGGATTCCCAAAGATATTGAAAATATAACCTTAGATTCTGCTGGGTAACATAAAATTTAGAGCTAAAGTTTCATTTCCTAAGCATGTAATCATGTCTCAGAAAATAAATGACTGCAACAGAGAAGCAAAGAATAATGTGATTTTATTTTGAAAGCATAATTAAAAATTATTTTCAGAGTATACTCAATCCCTGTTTACCTGGTGGAAATTTTCAAGAACAGAATCTTTTTTATCTGTAGTGATTAAATGAAAAGAAAAAAAAAAAAATAGAACAAATTTCAAGAGAGACTTCTGGGTTGGCTGACACAGCATAGATATGGTACCTAGTTATAATACATGAGTTATAAACAAAGCAAATAGGAAAATTATTTCAGTAAAATACACAGAAGCATAAAGAAATAACATGTAAATGACCAGTTCACACTGAAAATATTTAGAAACATGAAAGATTCAGAAAAAAAACAGCCTGTACTAACCATTGAAAGTGTTCCAGGAATAGTATCAGTGGACATCTGGTAAAACACAATACCACTTTATAAACAGAAAAATCACTTAAAAATTAAGGTACCCCAACAGAAACAAGATCCAATGTTTCAAACTCTCTTGACAGGTTTCTCCGTTTTAATTAAAGCACATTTAAACTGTAAGAACACCTACAATTCAGCTGAAGTCAATTTTGCTGTATGTAAAACATAGGTATATGCCTGGCACCTCATGTGAACGTGAAAAGACTCTTGAGCAGTAATTCTGAGTGAATATTAAGCATATTCTTGAAATTAATAAACATAACTAAGAGTGACTTATTTTATATTAGAGGTCAACATTTTCGCTTCCTATTTTCTGATGATATAAAAAGTGGAACATGGATAAGAAATAACTAGTAACTAATGAGTGAAGGAGTTTTACTTTCCAAAGAAAAAATATATAGCAAAGACTACCTGGTGGGAAGATAAATTATATCAGTTGGCATGCATATAGTATGATTAATCTATACTTTAACAGCAGCATTAACTATTTTAATTTTCTTCTCAGTTATTTTTCCAAAGTATTTAAAAACAGTCAAACAAAACAGAGCTACAACTCAATAATCTAGAATGTTCTGTCACCTATCCCAAGAAATGGTGTGACAATAAAGTCTGTTCACCTTAATAAGGGCTAGTGGTTCTCTGGAGCTTAATAAAAATATATTAAAATACATATTTTTAAAAATTAAAATTTGCCAGAGTAAGAATAATATGTAGGGGAGGTTAAAAAAATGATGCCATAGCATAGGCATTTCTTCAGTTAACACTTTCATTAAATTTTAACAAAATACTTTTTTTTTCTTAACCAATATTTTATAACTACAAAAAACTACACTGGGGAAATCTCTTACCTTCATTTTTATTTCAGGGCTATATAATAAATATGTGGTGTGATTATCATGAAATTTCACCAACATCTGAGTGATTTTTTTTTTTTAATGACTCTTTTTATTGGGACTGTTTTGTTACACTCTGCCACCTTACCCCAGCTAATTCACTTCAATATTCCAATTAAAATAAGAAAATCAAATGGATAAAGGAGGTTTTAGTAAAGTGAATTATTTGATTTTTATTAAAATGAACATTAAAAGTACTTACTTGACTTCAATGAATATTATTAATAAGATGACAACAAAGCCAATGATGACTATATATACACATATCTGGCAACACTGCATGCAGCATAATTTGTAAAAGTATAATTATTTATACCTACATGTAAAATTAGATATCACATACTAGCCTGTTAGGAATTATATTGAATATAATACTATCTCCTATGTTCAATTATTACAAATCACATTGTATTACAAATCATGATTATAAACCAGCCTAGAAATTTCTCATAAATTTGGGTCATATAATTTGATTTCATGTTAGGCTTGAGTATGAGTATTCAATTCAATACTGGCCACCCTAATTTAACAAATTTTTATTAACAGAATCCCACTTTGATTTGATTAGATTTATTTTAAAAGAACAGAAGCTACAACAACAAAAATATTTACAACCAGCATTGACTTTGGACAATAGTTTCGTAAAACAGAAAATTTGATGTCTACTTTCAGTTCAAAAGCAATTCCTTCCAGATAACATAAAAACAATTTGAATCAAACTGCATTTACTCATGGGAAACAGGAATCCACAGAGCAAATATATTTCTTATAAATCTGAAACTATATGAAACCCATGTAAGTTTCAATTTCTGAAATCTGTTGAAGCTGAAATTATGAAAATGAGGCTAGTTCTAGAAATTAGCAAAAGAGTTTAAAACTATTGTACTATTTTTAGAAGGCAAACTTATTTTTGAGCATTTTACTAGAATTTTTACTAGTTTTATTTCAAAATTTTGTATTTATATTTACAAACTACAGCTGAATGAAAAAATGTAAATTTTAAAGATATTTAAAATTGAGCCAGAAGATTATAATCCCTTGCATAGCAGTATCAGTGGTCCCGATTTACAATGGTTCAACTTACGATTTTTTGACTTTATGACAGAGTAAAAGCAATAAGCATTCAGCAGAAACCATACTTGGAATTTTGAAATTTGATCATTTCCCAGGCTGGTGGCATGCAGTGTAATGCTCGTTTGTGACTCCGGGCAAGGGCAGCTACTATACCCAGTCAGTAAGGGTAAACAGCCCATACATTTACAACCATTCCATACTCATACAGCCATTCTGTTTTTCATTTTCAGTACAGAATTCAATTACTAACATGAGATATTCAACACTTTATGGTAAAATAGGCTTGGTGTTAGATGATTTTGTCCAACTGGAGGTTGATATAAGCGTTCTCAGCATGTTTAAGGTAGGCTAGGCTATGCTGTGATGTTCCAGATTCTCAATTTGTGATGGGTTTACTAGGAATGTAACCCCATGTCAGTCAAGGAAGATCTGTATATATGTTTTCTCTGGTATTTACTTCAATAAATGCACAACCAATATATAAATATAAATATAGAACAGTATACAAAACACAGTGAAACACTTAAAGATCTTATTAAATTACTTATTAAATACTAGAAAAAATACAGGTCACAGAAATGAAGTACTTATTAACTTAATGTAATATTGCGTTTTTGTTCACTTGCTTTATTTTCTAAACTGTAGTCTGTGTTAACATGCTCTTTACACAAGACTGAACAGGATATAAGTTTTGTGAGTATATTTCAAAATTATTTTGGCTATACTGCTATTTTCTTTAGATATATCATAAACTCTTATCCCCAAGATGGCATTTCAGACTTCCAAAGAACATAAAGGAGTAAATTTTATAGTTACCCAAAACTTCTGTAAATACCAATTTAAAAAATGATCTAATGAGTAAATGCAAAATACTGAGTTAGCTGTTTGTAATTCAGCTATTTAGCTAAGATAAATTTAAATTCTCAGTTTAGTAATAATTTTTATCAATATAACATCATTTTTGTCATTGTATTAGCTAACCTAATAAAACTAATCTAATAGACTGTAATTACTTGACTTTGAGAATCTTCAAGGATTTAACTGGGAGCTCTCTTCCACAAACAATTCTTCCTATACAAGAACATGCCCAATTCAAGTAAGTACAACATTGAACTTCTGCTGATGGAAATAAGAAATGCATTAGAACATGGAGTATTAAATATGAAAAATATTCAATAAATGATTAATAGTATGTTACACTTGTATAGTACACTTAGTTTATAAAGTTTTTCAAATACAAAATTGCTCTTCAGAAAAATCCTGTAAAAAAGTAGGAAAAGTACCACATTTTACAAATGGGTTTGGGGGAACTGCAACTTCAGAGCCATTAAGAGACTTGCTTAATGTCATATGACAAAAAACAAATAGACAAAATGTCATATGACAAAAAACAGACAAAAAACCGTTAAGTCTCAGTCTAGTCTTCCAAATATAACATATTTATCTTCCTATATAAGGATAACACTTTCTCATTTTATATTCCTTTATAGAGTAAAAGGAAACATGCTGCCTTTAAAATTCTCTAACAAAATAGTTATTACAGTTACTTTTTAAAATTTTATCAAAAATCTACAGTTAGGAAACAATACTAAATAACTCTTATTCTTATACTCTTCAGATTGTACTATTTTTCTGTAGCATGTTACAAAGTTTACTCTGATAAGATCAAAATGTAGTAATACAAAGTAAAATACCCTAGACTTGGTAATTCATCAATCACATTCTATGAGGTCACTTTTATTTTTAAAATGTAAATCTCATAGTAAGATAAATTAAAATTGTTTCTAGTCACTCTTAATCCCTGACTGAAACCAATGGCTCGATGTCTACCAGCAATTCACCTTACCCAGAGGTCATGTTCAGCGTAGTCAAACAGAAGCCATACTTTCCTATCAGCATGAGACAGAAAAACCTTTTGAAGAGAGATGACATTTGGATGCTTAAGCTCTCGAAGTAACTGCAAAACAAGGAAGAGCAATTAAAAATCTTTGCCATGAAAATAATGTTAAATCATACATTTGTAATTCACAGAAATATAAACCCAATGGTAATCAATCCTAAAAATCTAGTAAGTACCCACACTATTTTGAAAGTGTCCAGATATGTGCTTCAGTAACAAATGCAGAAAAACTCTGGAGAAAAGATACTGAGACGATATAACTGAGTAAATCTGTTTTGTTGTTATTGCTTAGTTGGTTTTTACTTTTGTTTTGGTTTTTAATTGTGATAAAATATACAACATTAAAATCACCGTTTAAACAATTTTAAGTGTACAGTTCAATCAACAGCTTTTAAAAAACTGCAACATTAGAAAATATAACATTTGTCGATATCAAATATCAGATGAAAATTAAAATCTGTAATTCTGTGAGATATAGCATCTATTTTTTTAGGCACTAAATTATGCAGTTGATTAAGATTTTATAAATTTTAATAAAATAATAAAGAACTTATACAGACATAGGCATCTAAGCAGAACACATTTTTATGGCTTAACCTTTCTCATTTCCTAAAAGGACATTCTATTTAAAATCTTTTATTGCGGGGCGCCTGGGTGGCTGAGTGGGTTGGGCCTCTGCCTTCGGCTCAGGTCATGGTCCCAGGGTCCTGGGATAGAGCCCCTCATAGGGCTCCTTGCTCAGCAGGGAGCCTGCTTCCCTTCCTCTCTCTCTGCCTGCTGCTCTGCCTACTTGTGATCTCTCTCTCTGTGTCAAATGAATAAATAAAATCTTTAAAAAAAAAAACTTTTATTGCCTTATTTCATTCTCATTTATTAACCAAAGTGGGCCTAATAATCCATCAGTTAAAAACTATTCCTACTCTGCCAGGAAAAAAAAAAAAAAAAAAAAGGAACAACAGCAGTAACAATGTCAAGAAAAAATTTCTCAAGAAGCCTGATACTATGTCTTTATCAGTTAAAACCGAGTTACACAGTGCCTTCCAAATGTTTTCCAAATACATGACAGCCATGTGAGAAAGTCAAGGTTTTAGAACTTATGACTTTAGTACCTTTTATAAGAACACTGCTTCCAAAACAAGAATATAAATGCAATGTTAACAATATATTAGGGATTCTGAAATGAATTCAGCCAAGGAAAGACTATGAATGGACTATTATTAAATACTCATTTATATTAATCATTATTCTCTGGAAAGTGATAATTACTTTATTCAGGAGGAAGATTAAATTCAAGTTATAGATTTCTGCTTTTAGAATATAATTTCAAACTTACAAGACTTCAGAGATTGTACACAAAGCTTCAGAAACCTAAAGGTCAGTATCTAAGATTAACCATTTCCTAATTAATAAAGAAGGCAAAGAATCTGATAGGGAAAGTCTAGACTTCGGGATTACCCAGGATCATCCAGCTGGCTCCAGAACTAAACCCAGTGCTAAGTTCATCTTAGTTCTGGGTCAGTGTTTTCTCCATTACCTCATGATTGGAACACACTTCTCAGGCACTATTTCAAATCCTTTCTGGAAACTGGCAGGGTAGAAATTATAACAAACTCCAAAGCTCTGGCAAAAGTTCTCTCCAATTATTAGAAACCTACATAAAAAGCTATTCTTAGTATCTCCTCAATTTCACCTCCAAGATAAGGCTTAGCTCCTGTACTGGAAAACAAACAAACAAACAAACAAACAAAAAACAAAACAAAACCAGCAGCAACCATTTTATTAAGTTCTTCGTAAGTGCCAAGTATGGTGCTAAACATATGACATGCATTATGTCACTGAATCATGAATTACCCTATGAAATATTTATATTACTTCTAATTTAATAAATGAGGAAATAGTGGTTTGAGGGGATTAAATAACTTGCTCATGATCACAGTCCTAGGTAGTGGTTCAAATCAGGATTTTAATGCTTTTAAAATTAATTAATTGGGTTTTAAAGTACAAAGTCAGCACTCTAAGGTCTAATACCAACACTTTTTTTTAAAGATTTTATTTATTTGACAAGAGAGATAGAGAGCATAAGCAGGCACAGAGGCAGGCACGGGGAGAGTGAGAAGCAGGCTCTCAGCTGAGCTGGGAGACTGGTGCAGGGCTCGATCCCACGACCGAAGTCATGACCTGAGCTTAAGGCAGAGACTGAGCCACCTAGGTGCCCCAAATACCAACACTTTCTTAAGACCTAATACACTGGGGAACTATTTCTCCTTACATTCCAGAGGCACAGGTATTTTAAGTATATACTAGGTTGTGAACTGGCCAATGGCAGCTACATGTTTTGCTCACGATTGCTACCTTCTAGCACCCTGCCTAGGCACCTGGTAGGCACTCATTAAGTTTTTGGTGAATAATGAATTTGTGAATAAACAATACATACAAATTAAAAGGCATATACAACACACGCTTTGCTTCTGATCTGTGGACTAAGATCACTGCTTTTATCATAAAACCTTATTCCATTTCTTCAAAAAATCTACGTCTTAAAAAAGCTAATCCTCTTCTATTTTTAAACCATCCAGCTGACTAGTCAGACAACAAATCTTCCAGGGTAATGATTTAATAATATATTAACAATAAGAACTATCATTATTATAAGTAATTATAATCGTAAGTAAGTAAGTAAGTAACAGTGTTATGGACTGAATCTCCCCAAATTCTTGTTGAAGCCCTAACCCCCAGTACCTCAGAATGTGATTGTATTTGAGAACAAGGCCTTTATAGAGGCAACTGAGTTAAAATAAGGTCAGTAGGGTGGCCCTAATCCAATCTGAATGGTGACCTTCTAAGAGGAGGAGGTCAGGACACACAGAGAGACACCAGGGCAGCTTGTACAGATAGACAGCCACTGAAGAGGCCACAAGAGGGTGGTTGTCTGCAAGCCCAGGAGAAGCCGCAGAAGAAACCAACTCTGCAGACTCTGAGAAAGTAAGTTTCTGTTGTTTAAGTCACCCAGTTCATAGTATTTTGTTCTGGCAGCCTTGGCAAACTAATATAGTAAATAACTACTATTACTAAGTAAAACACTCTAATATTGGGTAGGGGAGATTTATCAGGAGATGGGTCGGTATGGGGTTAGAGATGGAAACTGAGTTTCGGTGGGGAATTACGTCTAAGTCAATATTTTTATTGAAGTACTTCCAAAAAATCAGGGAGCTGGGCTACATTTGGCAGGACTACCATTAAGCAAATGCCTCCTTCACGCCAGCCACTGTGGAGATGTACTAAGTCCTGGCATATAAAATGTGCTAAGACTTGCTGAAGTCCTCGAGTGGGAGACAAATGCAAGTAAGCACACAATCCTAATGCTGTGGCTGCAGCAGTGGTAACTGATGATTTATTGAGAGTAGCTAATATTTACCAAGAGTTTATCGGGCCCAAAGAAGTATGCTAAGTTCCTCACAATAAACCCCATGAGACACTATTATCATTTTACAAATGAGAGAACGAGAACACAAGGAAATTAAGTAACTTGTCTTGAGTCCTAAAAGCTGGTAAGTGGCAAAGCTAGGTAAAGCACCGGTAATCTGGCCAGGACTTTAAGTGCTACAGGCAGTACTTTAAGTCTGGTACTCTGACGCTGTGGAAACATCCCAAAGTTCTCCCAGCTGATGAAAAGCACTTCAGCATTTCATCACCACATAGAGCCAGCCCATAGCATGTAGATACCTTTTCTTTTTTTTTTTTTTTGGTCTTTCTGAGGATTTTATGTTAAAAAAAAATTTAAAGAAAAGGTTTGAATAAATTTAAGCAACGGTTTCTATCACAGAAATCACCTAAATTCTTTTAATTCTACTGGAAATAAAATCTTAAAATTTCCTGTACTAAGAGTACTACTAAAAATACAAATGTCTTAATACATCATTCTTTATCAACTTAATTCATTCCAGTTGTACCATACAATATCATACTTAATTTCAACCCTTAAAGTACAAATAAATAAAAAATAAATTAATAACATTTAAAACTGTATCTTGTCAATAAATAACACCTAGACCAGTGAGAAAATAGGATATAAAACTTCTGATATTCTCAAAATAACACCGGTTTCTAATATTAAAATGTTACAACATGGCAAAAATAATAAATTCTACATTTATGCCATGGGTATGATGATAGGTAAGTTGAAATTACTACAACAGTATACAGAATAATATTTCAAAATTATTTCAATTATTTTGTTAAAGCTGTGGAAAGTTTATTCAATCAAATTCTTGCGAGTTGTTAAGAATAAAACCAAAAGCAAACCCTGAGATGCCTAGATTAAAACAGATGTGAACTTTAAAAGTAGAGTCTGCAGTTTTACTTCTGCTTCCCTCGCTACCTTATTCCAGCTACAAGGCTGCCTCTTGGAATACTACTGATCGTCCACTGAAGCACAGTTTGAAAACCAATAAGCTTAAGGGATTCTACCTAGCAAGAAATTCTGGAAATACAAAACAAACCACAAACAATACAATGAGGATGAAGACATGCAATGCTCTTAACTTTAGAAGTGCTTGGAGTTCTTCCCACTCCCATTTACAGGTACTTACTGAACAAAGACTGTGTCACACCTAGCACACGCTGGTGAAGAAATATATTACAGTGTAGTGAAAATAGAAACCAACAAAAAGCAGTGTCTTGTAATTTATTATAAGTGCTATGAAAGAAAACAAACTGGGGGCAGACTGTAAGAGAATAGAGGAGATGGCTGGTGGGTAAAAAGGACTTCTCAGAGGAAGACTTAACGAAGGGAAGAGGACTGATAAGATGCACCAAGAGACGGGATATTTTTTTCTTTTGGATTTTTTATTATAGAATTTTTTAAACGTAAATAAAATAGAATAGTAAGGGGCGCCTGGGTGGCTTGGTGGGTTAAAGCCTCTGCCTTAGGCTCAGGTCATGATCCCAGGATCCCCGCATCAGGCTCTCTGCTCAGAGGGGAGCCTGCTTCCTCCTTTCTCTTTCTCTGCCTGTCTCTCTACTTGTGATCTCTGTCAACTAAATAAATAAAATCTTTA